GAGTCCCACCGAAGGCCCCAGTGCCACCGCCCGCATGCGTCCCCCCCACGCTCATTTCGGCACAACCTCTCACACGTTTCCTGGCCCCATAGGGGGCTCCACCGAAGGCCCCAGTGCCGCCGCCCGCATGCGTCCCGCACACCCATCTCCGCAAACCCCTCACACGTTCCGTGGCCCCATCGGGGGCTCCACCGAAGGCCCCAGTGCCACCGCCCGCATGCGTCCCCCACATACACATTTCGGCACACCTCCCACACGCTTCGTGGCCCCATAGGGAGCTCCACCGAAGGTTCCAGCCACCGCCCGCATGCATTCCCCACGAATCTCGGCACACCCCTCACACGTTTCCTGGCCCCATCGGGGGCTCCACCGAAGGCGCCAATGCCGCAGGCCGCATGCGTCCCGCACATCAAATCCGGCACACCCCTCACACGTTTCGTGGCCCCACAGGGAGTTCCACCGAAGGCCCCAGTGCTGCCGTCCGCATGCGCCCCCCACACCCATTCCAGCACACGCCTCACACGTTTCGTGGCCCCATAGGGAACTCCACCGAAGGCCCCAGTGCCGCCCGCATGCGTCCCGCACACCCAATTCGGCACCCCTTACACGCCTCGTGGCCCCATGGGGAGCTCCACCGAATGCCCCAGCGCCGCCGGCCGCATGCGTCCCGCACACCCAATTCGGCACACCTCTCACACGCTTCGTGGCCCCATAGGGAGCTCCACCGAAGGCTTCAGTGCCGCGCCCGCATGCGTCCCCACACCCATTTCGGCACACCCCTCACACGTTTCGTGGCCCCATAGGGAGCTCCACCGAAGGCCCCAGTGCCGCGCCCGCATGCGTCCCGCACACCCAATTCGGCACACCCCTCACACGTTTCGTGGCCCCATAGGGAGCTCCACCGAAGGCCCCAGTGCCGCGCCCGCATGCGTCAGGCACACCCCTGCGGACGCATGCGTCCCGCACACCCAATTCGGCACACCCCTCACACGTTTCGTGGCCCCATAGGGAGCTCCACCGAAGGCCCCAGTGCCGCCGCCCGCATGCGTCCCGCATACCCAACTCGGCCACCAAAGGCCCCAGTGCCGCCGCCCGCATGCGTCCCGCATACCCAATTCGGCACACCCCTCACACGCTTCGTGGCCCCATAGGGGGCTCCACCGAAGGCCCCAGTGCCGGCGCCCGCATGCGTCCCGCATACCCATTTCCGCAAACCCCTCACACGTTTCGTGGCCCCATAGGGAACTCCACCGAAGGCCCCAGTGCCGCCGCCCGCATGCGTCCCGCACACCCAACTCGGCACACCCCTCACACGCTTCCTGGCCCCATAGGGAACTCGTGGTCCCGACAGCTTCCCTAGGGCCGATTTCTTCGTCGTCGTCGTCGTCGTCGTCGTCCGTCGTCGACGTCCGACGTGCGCGTAGCGCGGCGCCTGCAGCCTTGAACTTTGGAGTGCGCGGGCGAAGAGGAAGGAAAAGAAGGGGAGGAAGCGGGCGCGATCCTCGTGTGGGACGTGCCGACATGGGCGTCGCGGCGCGCGGGCGTTGCCGTCGGGGTTCCCAGGAAAACTCCTAGCTGAGGCTACGCTCAGTGTCACGAGTTCTCAGAGTCAGGCAGACCCAAACCATTCACAGTCGTATACATTTACATTTGGTGACTCCATGCTCGCAGTCATGCAAATAGAATCAATCGCACGCATATTCATTCAGAATCAGACTCACTCGCGCTTAGACTCGCCCGCGATCAAGCTTTCATACTCAGACCTATCGTGTTCGTTCGTGTTGTGTACCCTATCACACAATCTGGCACACCCCCCATACGGTTCGCGACCCCATCGGGAGCGCCACCGAAGAATCTATTCACAATTGCGGTATTCACAACTGCGTATGGTTGGGTCCTTCTCCACGCTAATGTTTTTAAGTAACTAGTGAATTAACCAGTTTGGCCAGGGACAATTCCATTCTACCGGTGTATATGCCATCAAACCGGTACTTACAATTCGACCCCCTCTCATGCAGATCCTTGACTCGGGCGCGAGAGTGGTGATGATGATGCTGATGCGGATGATGACGATGATGATGATGATGTTGGCGCTGATGACGGTGGCGACGGTAAAAACGAAGACGGTGACGACGACGAGGAAGAGGATGATGATGGTGATGGTGATGATGATGATGATGATGAGGATGCTGATGATGATGATGATGATGATGATGATGATGATGATGATGATGATGATGATGATGATGGGGGTGGTGGTGATGGTGATGGTGACGGTGATGATGATGGAAGTGGTGATGGTGATGGTCACGGTGATGATGATGGTGATGGTGATGGTGATGGCGAGGGTGGTGATGACGACACGCGAGTAGTGCTGAAGCTGATGGTGGTGATGAGGACGACGCTGGGGATAGTGACGACGCTGGTGCTGATGTGGGCGATTGGGGAAGTGCGCGACCGCGGGAATTCAGACAGGATCTGTATTGGACGCCCGTGGGCGTGCATACATTGCAAAGGCCAGCGGTTTCTGCATGGTTTTGTGTGGTGCGCGCGGAGACGCGCGCGCGTGTGGCCCACGTGGACCTTGTTGGACAGCCGGCGAGATCCAGCGGTGACCGTGGAATGTCTTCGAAGTGTGCGCTCGTGCGACCCGAACGGTTTCTTCGGCAGGGTTGTCTGCTGATTCCAGTGCGCGCGCCCGCAGAAATCAGGTAACTGCAGGATGTCCGAAACATTGCCTTTCTTAGCTTGAAAAGAGATGTGTGCATTACTCCTTGTTGCTTAGATGGTAACGGTTTGGCATGCGCGCGTGGAGGCGTGCGCATGTGGCTCGCCTTTGCTCTTTTGGTCTATATCGATTTGGACAACACGCTCTTGTTAGATCAACGCGTGCGCATCGCATTGTATCTCTTGCCAATGACCAAGGGGACCCAGCAACACGTTCTACGGTATGGTACTATCCGATATGTCACACTTGCCATCGTGCATGAGAAGCACGAAACACACTTTGCGGAGGCGGGGAGAAAACTCCAGCCTCGGCAGGGGGGTCTGTTCTGATTCTCTGGGGGTGGAACACTCTACGTGGTGTAAACTGCACTGAACCCGCACAGCAAGGACGAGCAACTTTCCAAGGCGGTTGCCCCTGCATCCTTGGCCCTTCGGCTCATCCCTGGCAAGTTTCGCTGGCCAGCCCATGTCAGTCGGTGGCCAGCCCACTTTATGGCAGGAGAAAGCACCCAGACCCCGACGGCTGGCGTTTAGACGAAACGGCCCTGGGCGTCTAGTCTACTAACCAGCCCCGCGCTGTTCGATTCCCTCCGTGGGCGCGCTTACAAAGCTGCCTCGCTTGTCGGGGGTGCTTATTGTCGGGGTGCTTCTTCTCAGGGCGGGGCGGGCCTTCCGGGGCCCTTGGCGTCCTTGCCGCGCATCCGTACTGCACGGCGGGGGCGCTCGTTACGGCACGCACCCAGGAGGCTTCCGGCCCTGGAGGGGCTCCTCACCTGCTGCGGGCGGCGATGATACAGTCGGGGCCCTGAAGAAGGAACCCTTTTCGTTGGGGAGGGGCTCCGCGTTCCTTAAGTGTTTCGCAGCTTGCCTCAGCTTTTCCTTATGCTTTCGATCAGAAGTCGAAGTTTAACTTAGGGAAAAAACAGAGGCCTCGTTCCTCATTTTGGGTTCCTTAGGCCCAGGCCCCGACTTTCTCCATGGCCGATCCACGGCTCGAGCTCCACCAGCTTCCAGACCCTGGACCCCTTCTCTTGAGGGTTCCCTGCCCAGTGCCCCCCCCTGCACGGGCCGACCGCCCGCAGCGCGCGGGGGGGGCGCCCACCAGGCGCCCCCGGCCAGGGCGCCGCGCCGGAGCGCCCACGAGTGCCGCCCGGCGTGCGGATGGGGGTCCTCCTCCTCCTCCTCCTCCTCCTCCTCCTCCTCCTCCTCCTCCTACTCCTCCTCCTCCTCCCCCTCCTCCCCCTCCTCCTCCCCCTCCCCCTCCTCCTCCTCCCCCTCCTCCTCCTCCTCCTCCTCCTCCTCCTTCCCGGCGTGCGGGGGTCGCCCGCGAAGCGCCCGCGCCCACCGCACCGGGCGGTGGATGTCCCGCCGGCGTCCGGGGCCGCCCTTCCATACGGGGTGCGGTCGGCAGCTCTCATGGAAAGAGTTCGTGGCAAGGAGGCCTCCGCTCGAGGTCATCCACTGGAGCGTGGGCTCATCGTTGAGTGCCGTGCGCTTTCCCCGCCAGGGCATTCCATTCCAGTCCACACCTTAAAAGTGCCAACCAGCGCACGGGGCGCCTTCGAGGCACCGCGGCTGGCCACAACGCGATAACCTAGAAACCTGGTCCAATGTTTTGGGAAAGTTCTAGCCAACCCGCGCAATCAGGATGGGCATCCTTCCGAAGGGCATTCTTGCACCCTTGTCCACTCGGTCCATCCTTGGCCTCCTTCGTTGGCCGCGCCCCGCTCGACAAGCTTCGAGATGGGTATCTCCAACGCCCACGCATCCTTATGGCGCATCCTTGCGGTACGGGGCGAGCTGGAGCCCACAAGTGCGAGCACGGCTGCGGGAAGAGTCAGCGATGCCAGCGCGCGGCCTCCGCACCCTGGTTTCTTGCGGTCCCGCCGTGCAGTGCTGTGTGCCCGCCAGCCCCGGGGCACCACTCCTGGACAAGACAGGCATGGTGGGCCTGTTGTCCACCACCACCACCGCCACCACCATGAGGAGGAGGGGGATGGGGGTCCTCCTCCTCCTCCTCCTCCTCCTCCTCCTCCTCCTCCCCTCCTCCTCCTCCCCCCCCCTCCTCCCCCCCTCCTCCTCCCTCCTCCTCCCCACTCCTCCCCCTCCTCCTCCTCCTCCTCCTCCTCCTCCCTCCTCCTCCTCCACCTCCTCCTCCTCCCCTCCTCCTCCTCCTCCTCCTCCTCCTCCCCCACTCCAACTTGTGGCGGCGGTGGTGGCAAGCAGGCCCATCAAGACAAGAGCCCTCCGGCGCCAGCAGCAGCACAGCCAAGGACCGCCCGTGGCCCGATGTCAGCGACCTCGGCAGGGCCTTCGTGCGGGAGCTGATGACGGTCGACGCCGCGGTGCGGCCCTCGGCCCAGAAGGCGCCGCACTCCCTCGCTCTCCTCCTCCTCCTCCTCCTCCTCCTCCTCCTCCTCTCTCCTCCTCCCCTCCTCCTCCTCCTCCTCCTCCCTCCCCCTCCCCCTCCCCCTCCCCCTCAGGAACACGACAGATATTGACTCTCCTTGCAGGGGGCACTGACATGCAGGAGCTGTTGGATAGATTGGGAGACAAGTTGACAATAGCGTTGGTGCTGGCGTCGGTGCTGGCGTCGGTGCTGGTGTAGGCGAGGGCGTCGGTGAAGGCATAGGCACAAACGTGGGTGCTGGTGTTGGTGCTGGCGTCTGCGCTGGCGTAGCACGTCGGAGCTGGGGATAATAGATGTGGTGAGTGACGGACTCGTTATCCCATGGGGTGGGATAAGATGCTGGAGCAGGGTTGAATGGGAACGTGTTACTGATAGGTTGAATGGGAACGTGTTACTGAAGCAGATGATAAGATGCTGGGGTCGTGTTTTTGATAGGCTGAATGGGAACTGGCGTGGGGAACTGTGCACTGCTGTCCCGGCCGCGTGGCCGATAGAAGATGGACTGTGAAGTTCTTGCTGCTACCTCGCGGGGGGGGGGGGGGGGAAATTCGTTACCTTTCCCCCACCCCGGCAGACACGGCCCGTCCAGACCGTTACTCCGCAGAGCCGATGCAACACAGGGGCAGCGAATACCAATACAGAAAAGTCCCAAATGTCACGGAGTTGGTGCGTCACGGAACTCTGCCCCGTCTATCGTGTGACGCTACGCCTGCGTCAGCACCGACTCCTGTACCGTCGCCAGCATCAACACCAGCGCCTCCACCACCACCGACGCCAGCACCGACCGTTCAAGATGTACCCACCACCGAGGTTGAAATGACCACAACCGAGACGGAGACGACCGATCAGGAGCTCACCACCACCGAGGTGGACATGACCACTTCTGGGAGGGATACGACCGACCAGTAGTTGACCACCGAGGAGATATTGACCACTACCGAGTAGGAGCCGACCGATCAGGAGATGATCACCGAGGTGGAAATGACTACTGCCGATATGGAGACGACCGATCAGGAGATGGCCGCCACCAAAGGGGAAATGTCGATTTACCGAGACGGAAGCGTTTATTCAAGAAGGGACCACCACCGAGGTGGAACTGGCCACAACCGAGGTGGAGACGACCGATCAGGAGCTGATCACCACCGAGGTGGAACTGACCACTTCCGAGATGGACACGACCGACCAATAGTTGACCACCACCGCGGTGGAAATGACCACCACTGAACAGGATTCGACCGATCAGGAACTGACCACCACCGTGGTGGAAACGACCACTACCGAGACGGAGGCGACCCAGCAGGAGCTGACCACCGAGGTGGACATGACCACTTCCGAGGTGGGGACGACCAATCAGGAGCTGACCACCATCGAGATGGAAACGACCCAATCCCGAGATGGTGACGACCGATCCGGTGCTGACCGCCACCGAGGTGGACATGCCCACTACTGAGATTGAGACGGCCGATCAGGAAGGGACCACTACCGCGAGGTGGAGGCGACCACTGCCGGGTCGGCGATCACGCCGGCACCAACGCAAGCGCCTACACCAGCGACAACGCCAACACCGACGCCAGCACGAGCACCAGCCCCTCTACCAGCATCGACGCCAACGCCGACACCAGCACACTGGTGAGCTGCGCGGCTCACCGGTGTCCCAGTAGCGCACGCTAGCGCTTACGCCAGCGCCGACGCCATCACCGACACCAGCGTCAACACCCACGACGACGCCGCCACCACCGCAAGCGCCTACACCAACGATAATGCTTGCACCGACGCCTGCACGAACACCAGCCCCCACACCAGCTCCGACGCCAGCGCCGACACCAGCGCACTGGTGAGCTGCGCGGCTCACCGGTGTCCCAGGAGTGCACCTGGTTTTGACGCCAGCGCCGACGCCTGTACCGACGCCAGCATCAACACCTGCGTCGACGCCGGCGCCAACGCAGGAGCCTACACCAGCGACAACGCCAGCACCGCCGCCTGCACGAGCACCAGCCCCCACAACAACGCCGACGCCAGCGCCGACGCCAGTATCGACACCAGCATCAACGCTTGCGCCGACGCTGGCACCAATTCAAGCGCCTACACCAGCGACAACGACAACACCGACGCCAGCACGAGCAACAGCCCCTACACCAGCTCCGACGCCAACGCCGACACCAGCTCACCGCTGAGCTGGGCGGCTCACCGGTGTCGCAGGAGCGCTCGTTGGCGCTTACGCCGGCACCGACGTCAGCACCGACACCAGCTTCAACGCCTGCGCCGACGCCGGCGCCGACGTAAGCGCCTACAACAGCAACAACGACAGCTCCGACGCTTGCACGAGCACCAACGCCCACCCCAGCGCCGTCGCCAGCGCCGACACAAGCGCACCAGTGAGCTGCGCGGCTCACTGGTGTCCCGGGAGCGCCCCGAGCGACGAACTGGGGCCCGCCGACGAGGGCAACGAGGGCAACGAAGCGACCTTGGAAATCGTGCGCCCCGTGGAGGCGACGGAGGTGGTGGCAGATAGCCCCAGAATTCGTTCACGACAGGCCAAGGGCCGTGAGTGGCACTTTTGGTCCGCCCCACCGCCTCCCCCTGGGGGCCCCACGCCTCGGGTGGCAGGGACCGCTCCGCTCTCCCCCTCTCCTGCTGCTGCGGCCTCCTCCCTCCCTCCTCTTCCTCTCTCCCCTTCCCCCCCTCGTCCCCCTCCTTCCGCTGTTGCGGCCCCTCCCTCCTTCCTCTTCCCCTCTCCCCCCGCCGTTGTCGTCGTCGCCGCCGCCGCCTTCGCCGTCTTCGTCGCCGTCGTCGTTGCCGTCGGGGGCGGTCCTGCCTTCCTGGGGCTTGTGGCCCCCTCTGGGGGGGGGGGCGTCCGATGGTAGTGATGCTGGGCTCAGTCTTCCCGCCCCTCGCCTCCCGCGTCCTCCTCTTCCTGCGCTGGTCGGTCTTGTGAGTGGTTTAATTAAGTCTGCAGGCGGGCCTTGTGCCCAGCCCGGGGCGCCCGCCCACCGAGATGCCTCGGCCCCTCCTTTTTTGCGGGGGTGGACGCCTCTCGTGGCCTCGGCGCGCCGCGGGTATGCTACATACCTAGACGTTCAATTTGATTTCTTGCTTGCTCCTGCGTGTACTGCTCTGGGGTGTTTGGCCCGCCAGTGGAGCCCTGGGCTGTGACCTGGCGTCCATTCAATTTTTGTTCTCCTCTTCTCCCTCCTCCTCTTCTCCTCCTCCTCTCCCGCTTCCGCCTCTGAGTTGATAGGATTCCGGGGATATGTTCTATCAGCCATGCTGCCGCATGAGTTTTAACTTAGTTTGCATGGTGAGTCTTCCTTTCTCGTGCCGTTGTGTGAGGCCTCATTGTATAAGTGGTCGATGGGACCCTATATGGGGAGTGATGCACACACAGCGCCATGATCCTTTCGTCTTATTCGAATAAGACGTTTCTTTTTTCCTCGTGCAAATGGTCCTGCCTCGATGCACCGATTCCGTGACACATGCATTTTCCTCATTGTGCGAGTCCAGGGTTTTTGTATCGGGCCTGGCAGGCTGTGTGAGGCTGCGTGCGGCTGGCAGTCGGACTGGAGATATGTCGTGCTTTGCGAGTTCCCTGACCTTCCCTTTTCCCCCCCTCTCCCCCCCCCAAAAAAAAAATATCCCCCTCCCCCTCAGGAGGCAATGGAAGGCCCCCGACTTTGAGGAGAGCCTCGGGGGATTCCGCGCCCGAGTGGGGTGGCCCCTGCCGGGGCGGCGCGGGGAGGGCAATTTTCGTCAAGTCCTGGGTGCGCTGCGCTGGCACCTCTTCGGGACCATCTAAGACACGTTCGCTAGGGCCTGTTATTGTAGTGGCCTCCGGCCAGTGCCGCCGATCTGGAACGCTTCCGTTGCTGCCGGAAGCGCGCGATGGCGGTCATGACCAGCGGCGACGGCGAGCGGTGAGGATGATGATGAGGATTGAAATGGAGGCGACGGAGTAGGATGAGGAGAAGAAGGAGGAGGATCATGATGAGGTGGAGGGGGGCGGAGGGGGGAGGGGCAGGAGTAGCAGGATGCTGAGGACAGGAGGAAGCGGGAAGTGGAAGAAGGGGGAGAAGGAGGAACATGACGAGGATGAGGAGATTTTCGGCGGTTGTTGGAGATGATCGGCGGTTGTTGGACAGCCCCTGGGGGGCCAGGTGTTGGCCTTCTTTGGGTTGATACCTCGCCGTTTTGGCGCACTCTCTGAAAAGCTTTGTGCTAGAGCTGTCTGCGTTACAGTTCTTCGTGAAGCCTTGTGCATCACCGGTCTCTGCTGGGAACCATGGTGTTTTTGGGGTCTCAGGGGCCTTCGCGCGGTCCTCTGCGGGCCCTCGTGGGATCACGGATGTGAAGGACACCGAGGACGAAACGCGGTTTGTGTATTGCAGCGCTCGCGTTCAGACGCAAGCGTTTTGGAAACATTGGGGCCAGTTTTGGGTTTCTCGGAGGGAACTTCGGAGGCAGCTTGGAGGCTTCTAGAAGGCGTCTTGGGTGCATTCGCTGAAACTCCTGATGGCCTTTAGGGGGCTTCAGGGGGGCCTCTTCGGGGCCAGTTGGAAGCGTCTTGGGGCCTCTTCAGGCCTCTTGGGGGTCTCCGCGGGCCTGCTGGGGGCTTCTTGGGCCGTCTTCGGCATTTCTTCCGCCGTCTTGGCGCCCCCTGAGGCGCCCGTCTTGAGGCCCTCTTGGGCCTTTCCGGGGGCCTCCTGGGCCATCTTGGGCCCTTCGTGGGCCGTCCTGGAGCCCTCTTGGCGACTTCTTGGGCCGTTTTGGGGCTCTCTTGGGGCGTCTGCGACGCTCTGAAGGCCCAAGGGGCGAAAATGCTAAAATGGTACGTTTTCATCCGGGAATGGGACATTTGTTGTCTCGGGCCTTCTTTGGGAGGCCTTTTTTCAGGCGTTCTGAAGGAATCTTGGAGGCATTTGGAGCCGTCTCGGGGACATTTTGGGCGTTTTGTAGCGATCG